TTTACCCCCCCCCCCCCCCCTTTTCATTATTTAATGTGTTCTTCATCTGTATATTATAATGTGTTGTGCCGAACTCTCAGTGGGGTTTTGGGTTTGGTTAAGAATAGAATTTTGTAAATTGGGGGATTGCTCTTCTGTGAGACGTGTTGTCATGATTATTTTCCTGAATTGGTTTATACTGTTAAATTTTTTTGACACAGGAGCGGCTCAAGTAAAGCCAAAGTTTAATGTGAGGCCTAAAAAAGAGTGTCGAACACTTGAACTAATAAATTGGAGAAAGAAGGTGAATAATGAAATCTTGGATCGGAGAAGAAGGTGAATAAGAATATCAAAGAGAAAGACAGAAAAAATTAGAGGTTTCTGAAACATGAAGAGATTAGAGAAAAAAAAATTAACTCGGACAAATTAAGGAAGAAAAGTAAATTTTTTATACGTTATCTAATAAAAGAATAAAAAGTTAAATTGTCAAATCAACTTAAATTGAAACGTTGAGAAAATAATTCATCTACCCATTTTTTTAGTAAGTCAAATGGTTACTTTATTTTTTTATCTAAAATTTTTTATTTCTTTATATGAAAAATTCTACTTTATGTATTAAAAGTACTAAATATTAATGTATTATTTTTTAAATACCTATAAACCTATTATTTCTAAAAAAAAAAAAAAAAAAAAAAAGGGCCCCCACATTTTTTTCTCCTAAACAGATGGGCATAATTGTTTCAATTCCTTTTGGCAGGTAACTTGCTGTTCTGGGTTAGACCTCACGTTTACTCTCATAAGAAGTATTCCAAGAATGGAATTACCATTAAGTATATAGATCTCCAGAAGCACATCGGATCAGAAAAGGGGTATTCGTCAACGAGTGCTCGAGGCACCATTTATTGTTCAACTCAGCAGGAAAGCAATGCTGGCTTGCCTTCTGATCATATTGGAGTTAGTGCAAAAGTGATTTTTGCTGCTGCACCCGCAATGGGTCATAATCAGGTAAAATAGATGTACTTACCATATGCATTATGAAGCTAGCTTTGGGGTTCCAAGGAATTATTTACTTTATAGTGTCTTCTCTTAAAGCCGTCCTGGACTAAGCTCATGCCAAACAACTGTTTGCATCGCTTATTTGACACCGATCAAAAGAGTTAAAACTAAATTTATGTAAGCTGTTACCGTCTTGATCAGTTGCCAAATTTGCCTCCGCATATGGCTTGTGGAGGAAGGAACATGGACTTCTATATTTAGTCTGTTCTGCTTAGCAATTCTACACTTAATTATGTGCACGCGAGGAAAGCAGATAAGTGAAAATGATAGAGGCTTAGAGCGTAATTGTTGACTGCAGAATGGGTACTTATTCTTCCAATTGTAAAGAAAAATGTATGCACACGTCTACTACACCAATCAATCATTATTCCAACCTACTTAGAAGTAATGGCCTTACTCTGGATGATAGTCTGAACTATAATATGACTGTCTTGTAATCTTTCATATTGGTATACATGCGGAATTAGGTTGAATTGTTATTAAAGATAGAAAATTGAGGAGCACAATCAAACTTACTGCTGATTGCTGAGCAACTTGCTCACAAATGTCTCAAACTTTCATAATCAGACTTGTAACTAAGATAGAATTATTTTCTTTTACAGCCCAAAGTTCTTTTCTTTTCTTTCTTCTTTTAAAAAGAATTTTCTTAGGAGGTGCAAATTGTTTCAAGTATCTAGATCAATTTAAATTGTACTGAAATCTGAAATAAAGAACTGTTTTATGTCATATACCTCGAAATATGCTGTCACTAAGTTCTTNTTAGTATATGCTTTCAAAGAAAAAGTTATATATATTCTGTAGCATGTAGTTCATGTCATTCTGTTGCCCGCATGTGCCAAAAGTAGATATTATTTCCAAGGGTTCACTTAGCTGCAATTAAACATTGTTCTTGTAGGAAATGCCTGGCTCTTTGTTCTTTCCAAGGTGCCATTTGATTCTCTATCACATATCTTGAACTCATGTATGTTATAGTTCTAGATCTCAATCCCGGTGACTGTTTAATTAGATGTCTTACAACTAAGATCCTTCTCATTCCAAGTATAATTCCTCCCCCAACGTAAAATCTATTTAGATTTAGGCATGTGTCACCTTTTGTTTAGTTGGAGATTGACATATTATAATTATAACATTCTTTATTCCTTTTTTTTTTTGAAACATAACATAGATATCAAATGTTTTATTGGATTAGTTCATACAAAATACGGGCTAAATCCTAAATTTAAGACATATTGGATCAAGTCAACATTTTTGGTCAAGAAGTTCAGATTAATTATTTAAGTTAAAATTACACGATTTAAGTGAAATCAGATTAGATTTGGTTTAGGGTGTTAAATTGGGTTTCTACAAGATGAGCTCATCCATATTCTTCAACTCAAAGGCATATTAGGGTTACTTAGAGGCTACTCCACTCCAATACCCTAGCTCACAAGTCACACCTATAAAAGGGGCATTCAAAGGTGTATCCTAGTTGTCAATGAATTGAGTGGGTTCAAACTTTGAAGATCAAAGTTCAAATCTCAGTATAGACCCCACAAAAAACCTAGGTGATTTCTTCCATTTGCCTAAACCTTGGTGGGCAGAGTTATGCAATACATGTGTTGGTGGGAGGTAGTAGGTACACGCTGGAATAGTCGAGGTAGCGCATGCTGTCCCTGATACTATCATTATTAAAAAAAGGGTCACACCTACCATATATCTCTCTTGGGGGGGGGGGGGTATCTTGGCTATTGGTAGTAGAAAAGAGTGGCACTTTTTATATTTCTCTTTGAAGTTTTCTAGCAAAAAAGAGAGGTCAAGAGAAGTTTTTCCTCTAATTATCCCAAAGTAAAAACAAATGCATCTTGGAGATCAAACATAACCCAAGGAGATCTACATCATCCCTTTTTTTAGAGATACGCTACTTTGTCCTCGAGTTAAAGAAACAAGAAGGATCAAGAGAAGTTGTTGTGATGTCCATGGTGTGGTTACATTGGACTAGCCAAATGGTACCACTGCCTTTTTTTGCTCTTTCAGGTGCTACCTAAAATCATGTGAAAATTTTGGGTTTGATGCCATATAGATGTGATAGTTTGTTGCTTAATATTTTCGTTTGAACTAGATTTCGCTTGTAAATATCTTTCGGAATAAAATGCACCATTCCATCTGAAACTTTTTCACTCCTATGATCTTGCCCCTTAATTTCGTTGGGCTAAAGAAGTTGATACACCTGTGACTTTTCAGGTTTCTATGGTGCAAGGATCCTTAAAGTATTCAATTCAATTGGATCAGATATAATGACGACTCCTTTTATTTATACAGATCTTGTTAATATTTCTCTTGCATGATTTCTTTAGGGTAAGAAGCACTGCTGTAAACTTCACTATTCTAGCATTTATAGCTTAAAATTTGTGAATGTCCTTTACTATGCCTTTATGTTGTGTTGGGGATATCTATTTCTTGAAATTCAGCCACAAAAAGTTTTCAGGAATCACATCCAGAATGCAACTCTAGAGTTCCTGCAATTTTGACAGCTCTGGAAAAGATGAAACTGACTTCTAAGGTATGCCACAAACACAGCAATTATTTGTCAATGTTGATTTTTGTGTTCATTGTTTTCGCCAGTGACTTATAAAAGACAAGTACATACGATATCTCCCAAGGGGTCATTTGAATCAGGATAAAGGATAATAATTCAGGGGTAAAATGTGAGATTATTTTATTCTATGTTCGATTGAAAATTTTGATTCTGGTATAAGTAATCCTAGGATTATTTATACCACAATTTTGGTGTTATTTTATACGTCATTCAATGTGGGATATCATTTTCGAGGTTAGCTTATCCTGGGATAAAACAACAACAACAACAACAACAACAACAACCCAGTATAATCCCACTAGTGGGGTCTGGGGAGGGTAGTGTCTATGCAGACCTTACCCCTACCCTGGGGTAGAGAGGCTGTTTCTGATAGACCCTCGGGTTCCTCCCTCCCTCCAAGAGCTCCCCACCTTGCTCTTGGGGTGACTCGAACTCATAACCTCTTGGTTGGAAGTGGAGGGTGCTCACCACTAAAGCAACCCACTCTTGTCCTGGGATAAAACAACCAAATGACAAAAGATGACCTTCTCCAAAGCGCTTCTCCTTAAGTCCTTTAAGAAGGCCAATGTTAAAATTGGAAATACAAGTTTACCCAAGTTTATGTAGTGTAAACTAAAAAATATGTTTTATACTATATCCCGTATATCCGATTGTTAATCCGATGAACAAGACATCTACTAAAAAAAGTAAATAATTTCGTTCTTATTTAATCTCCATATTATAATGCTCACATTATTATCCCAGTATAACTTGTTCGTAAACCAAAAAACCCTATAAGGGAATAACTGAAAGTCTGAAACCCCCCCTTAATATAACAGAATCTGTTAAAACATCATAATATCTCACATTAACTTCATAGGAAAGTCTTCATCATGAAACCAGTTAAATGGACAAAGGTTTTTAGATTTTCAATTATTTTAGTTCTGTATGGACATCCTACTCAAATAAAAGGAAAAATTTGATCGATATTTTGATAAGTAAATTTTATTTTCTTATTAGGTAAGAGCTCGCAGAGCTTTGGTCTAGTGGCAAAAGCGCATCACGTGGTGTATAGGTTAGGCGGACGTCACTTGTTTAAACCCTGCCTCTGGAATATAAAAAGAGAAGGGCAGAGGGGTAGGCCAATTATACATTGGGTTGCAAACCGTATACCACTGACTCTCGAGGATTTTTTGGTTCTAAAAAATAGATTATTGCTAGAAAAGGAAAATTAGATTCTGACATTCTTTATGTGCTGGAAGTCTAGAATTTGGTGTCAGTTACGCTGATCATTACATATGGCAAGAAGCATATATTCTAGCTTGTAACCAGACCTTCTACCATTTGGTAAGATTGATAAATATTATAATCCACTAAAATAAATAATAACTGATGTTGGAAGTAATCAAATTTATGGTTTTGAGTGCTTAGTTACCTTTTAAGGCTGGCATATTTGCCAGTTCAGCTATTTAGCTAACCTACCTCCTATTCTGAAGTGCAAAGCAACACATGGAAGGATTTTATGGGAGCTACCATCCTACCGTAAAGTGTGAAGCAACTTCTACAAGGAACCTAAGGAAGATATTATAAAGTAAAAAAAATGAACTTCAATAAAGATCCACCCCTTTTAGGTGGATCTTTATTGATGTTCATTAATGCAGTGAATTTTCCTTTGTCATATGACCCTTACCACCTGGGCTAGTCATAGGAGGGCAGGAGAGTTCCTATCTGTTATTTTGGGGGCGGGGGGCGGGGATATGGGTCTGATTAAAATGACCAGAACATTTCTGTGCACTAGTAAGATGCACATATTAATGTTTTTTCGAATACCTTTGCAACTAATCAAGCTATCATGTGATCCAGTTTCGAGGCTCAGATATTGTTGAAGTGCAGAATTTCAGACCAGCTACAATAGATGATATAGCGAGTGTTCATGCTGGGGCATATATCTCAGGGCTTGAGAAGGTAGAATAACCATAAGGTTTGGTACTTCTTCTTATTGAATGTCATCGTACAGTAAATCAGAACTTCTGTGAGGGTGTGTTTGGTATGATGGCAGTCATTTTCCAGGAAAATATTTTGCATGAGAAAGACATTTTTTGGTTGCCAGAAAATATTTTCTATCAAAATGAGGAAAATGACTTCCATTGCTTATCGACGGAGGCCATTTTCCCCGACAACTTTTATTGTCGTTGTTGTCACCATTGTCACCATTATTCTTTCTTATCCTATCTTTCTTTTGATTTGTCAACTATCATCTGCAGGCTATGGATCAGGCTTCAGAGAAAGGTCTAATTTTCATCGAAGGATCTGGGCCAACATATGCTACTGCCACAGTAAGAATACATATTTTAAGCTGACTCTCCCGCTTTCTGATGCTAGTCTCAATAGCAGTCAGTTTCCACTTTTATTTGCAATCAGAAAGATACGTGATGAAGATTGTCTGTGATTTCTGAAAAAGGTTATTGGTGTTCCGAATTTATCAGATTTGATTATTCTTTATTCTTGAGGAATATCTTAAACACGTAACCTAAATGACAGTTAAACACGCCCAACAACACTCAATCTGCACATAGATAATTCGCATGCATCCGTTCATGTCCATTGAAGTCCAACAAGACCCATCTAAGGCCTAGGATTGGCTCCATATCTTTTTTTGATAATGAGGATTGACTCCATATCTAAACACCCAATTCTTCAGCTCATTTATACGTAATAAATGAAATTTAGATAGTAAGATTACCTCTTGGAGACATTTGAAATTTCTATCTTTGGTGGATTCTTGTGATTAATTAAGGATCTAGAAATTTTTCATAGAGTGTTTGGGCTAGCAGTAATTAGTCATAAATGCACCAAAACTTCATTAAACGCTCACCTTGATTGGCAGGATACTCCTTGCATAACTCAAAACCTTATCTCTTTTCCTCTTCTTCTTCTCTTTCCCGACTCTGCTGTATTTAAAGTATGCGAGCTCTTGCTCTACAAGCTCCCTTGCCTTGGCAAATATTCACTTTCTCGTAGAGGGCTCGCAACGTGAGCTTGCTTGATCCTCCCAGGGCCAATCCTCGCAATGCAGCTCGCGAATGCCGTAACATTTCTGACTGTTGATTTTCTCCAGTGAGTCTCCAATCCAGCTTTCCTCACGATGCGTGGCCATTGTGGGACTGGGTGGCCTGGCTATGCCTAGTTCTCGTGGTGGTCTCGCGATGGACCTCAGTACCATGTCTCGCATACTTGGTTAGGACTCCCTCTCTCACGACACGGGCCCATCATGCGAGGGTCTTGTAGCATGAGTTCTATCCAAACTTCAATTTTTTATCTTTCCTTGCTCTTTTATCAATCTAAACCACTTTCAAACCATACCATACCCACATTATCTTGTCCCAAACACTTCACCTCTGTCATGTGGATTTGTTTACATCTCCGGGATACATTATCAAGTCGTTAAGGTTGTGCTTAGTTGTAATTAACGTTTAGCCTTACAACCTTGGTCGGTCTAGAAGCCAAAATACTGCTGTATCTACTGCACTGCTAGGTTTTAAGCACACATCGCCCGACTCTAAAATACTGCTTTATCTACTGAACTGGTAGGTTTTAAGCATACATCATCCTACTCTATTGCCACCTTGCACAAAAACAGAAAAATAGAAAAACTTTGCATCTGAAATTAGAGATACTATATCTTGACTCATGCTTTGCATGGGCATTTCTTCATCAATTAGTTTTTTTTTCCTTCTGATTCAGAATGAAGTTGATGTGGATGAAGACATCTGCAAGCAAGTTCGTACTGGTTATGGTGAAAAAATATCTACAATTATCAGTTGCTCTATTGACTAAATAAGGATATAATTTTTTATTTGATTAGCAATCAGAGCGAAATCAATTTTCCAATATAAATAACTGCCTTTGTAAAAGAGTTTTAAATGTTTCATATAAGGGAAACCAAATAAATTAGATAACTACAAATATTTTGATCGATTAAGTAGGAAATACTAGTATATGGTTTAAAGTAATGTTCTGGAAAGATTGTATACTCTGTCCTTCAAATATCACCAGAAAATGCTCTTTCAATAGTGCTGCAAATGTTCCAAAGATAGAAGGATTACAGAAGGCGTTCTGACCTAAAATAAGGGTGCTCGCTGTGCAGAGAATTAATATATTATGATTGTTCCACCTCCTTCCTCTAACTATGGCAACTAACCACCTGTGCCTTCTATAAATCTTCTAGCTGCTGCAGATCTGTCGCTTCAGTTGGCTTCTGGATGGTCACTTCTATCTTCCTTCTCTTCTGTCCACCGGAAATAAACCTTCCTTGACATGATTCAGTGAGACCAAAATGATTAACATTTATCCGTCTTTCCAATATTTTTGGAATTTACTTTAACAATCCTTGTCCCCAGACCCCACTATGTGGGATTACACTGGGTATGTTGTTGTACTTTAACATTCCTTGTACACATTTCCTTGGAAAACATAAATGTGGTTTCACCAATACATTAACCAGTTACAATGATACATTGCTCTTGTATTTCAACATTGCACTCACTCTTGCAACTTTTGGAAGAGTTACGTCACTTACCCTTCTAGTAAACACCCCCCCCCC